GCTGTTTGCCAGATGTTTTACCAGAAATGTAAGACATTTCTTGTAAGAAGCCTTAATAGGAACTGGACTCTAGGTTTGATTTTTTTTAAATAATAAAAGACACACAGTACTTAACTGCTTCAATAAGTCAATGTTCAGTTGTGCTATCCCAGATAAAAGAGAGGAGCACACTTACGGAACACATTTATGGAGGTGGTCGCAAAAAAGTGCATTTGATTTTTCTTGACCCACCAGGAAAACAGTGGATGTTCTTGAACACCTTCCTAGTCAGTTCCACAAAAAAAAAAAAAAAAAAAAAAAAAAAAAAAAAAAAAAAAAAAAAAAAAAAGGAAGGAAATTAATAGGAACATGTCTTTTTGGCTGGCCATCCAAACCTGCCTCCTCTGGTTCTAGAGACTTTCCTTGTAGGCCACTGTGGGGTTGGACCAGGGGAGAGTTTCAGAGGTGTCATGGCTTAAGTGCAGCTCTGGAGGCAATAGTAGTGGGGATCTCACTGGCCCTGACAGTGCTGCTCAGATACCAGATCCTGCGGGCTGAGTCACAAGAGGTAAACGGTTTGTAATACTCTCTCTTTAGGATCTCCTCCTCCTTTTTGTGTCTTTTGCATAGAAAATTGACATTCTTTGTTAAATGGAGTCAATATTATAAGCTTTTCTGGTGGTTTTTGAATGATTTCTAAATTGATCCAGATATGACTCTGTCAAGAGATATGATTACAATGTACAAAACATTTAGAAATAGACTCATTTGTATAATGTGACATAAATGGTCTCAAGTTTTTTTTTAAACTTCATAACCAGGATGCTAAGTTAGTAATATTCAATGAGAAATTCAATCCTCAATAAAACTTCTTGAGATGTGAGTATCCACATTATAATTAGAGGCTTGTTTAGTGACCCTGGAATTAGAATACAGGAGTGTAAATCATCTTAATGACAGTGCCATCAATTCAGTTCAATTCGTTTTCTAATAGCTACCTCGCAGAAAATTCAGATCTGAGATCTTTAGTGATCCCTGGAATGCAGGATCTATCAATTCTCTTGACCATTAGAGATCAGTTAAGATATAATTGTTTGTAAGAGTCTTCTCTCCCCGGCTTATTGAGGGCACTTCCATCTCCATACAGAACCGAGACCAAGCAGGGCCATGCCTTTCCTCAAAAGCATAGCTTGGATTGGTTCAAGAGCTTAGACACATAATCAGTTGAGAACTCAAGAGTCTTATGTCATCATAGAATGGAATAAAAACTGTTGAGTGGCAGCAGTCACCAAACAATATCAGTGGCAGAATGAATGAAACAAAAAAATTATATTGAACTGGAGAGAAACTTGCCATGAATCAGATTGGTACCAGGACATAATCAGGAGAGGAGGCAGAGCTGGCAGTGGGATGCAGGGAAAAAACAGAAGCATTCATTCATTTAATCATTCATTCATTTATTTTCTCACTCACTAATTCATCACACACAGGATGAGTATTTTTTATCCACTTGGATTCTTCTAGACATTGAACTTTCAAATCAGACATGAGCTCCTTCAGGAACTTGGACTAGTATGAGAAAATACATGAAGTTAAGACCTGAGTTAAACAGAAAAAGGCATGAAGCAGTAGATTGGGTCGAAATTATGGAGGAACTTGGTTGCCAGCCTTAAATACAATGGTTTAGCCTTGATTCTAAGGCAATGAAAGGGGAGAGCATCACACATTAAAAGAGGGAATACCATCCAGGGAGCTGTACACAAATGTGGAGATGGGAACAGAGCTATGGTGCTAAGTTGAGGGTAGAGAGGGGCAGGCGTGGTGGCTCATGCTTGTAATCCAAGCACTTTGGAGGCCAAGGTGGGCGGATCACCTGAGGTCAGGAGTTCAAGACCAGCCTGACCAACATGGTGAAACCCCATCTTTAAAAAAAAAAAAGAGAGAGAGAGCAGAGCTATGGTGCTGCTAAGTTGAGGGTAGAGAGGAGCATTGCAATTGTCTAAGTAAAAAAGTATTTAGCTGGAACTAGAAGAAGGAATGACATTGCTAAATGAGAGGCATTAAATGGGAAGTGGATTGAACCAAAAACATAGATACCCAGAAAGGATATATTTGAATATATCAGGAGACAAAGAAGCCAGAGAAGAACATAGGGAGGAATCAGAGATAAAGCAAAAAGAGAAGAAAGTTTCCAGAATATAGAATCTCATTAGTTAATGGTGCTTCTTTGTAACCAAGGAATGCCAGAATTGAGAAATGGCTATTTAAATTAGGTGCAGGGAGATCCTTGGTGACTTTAAAGAGGATAGACAGATAGATGAGGGAATGAGTGGAAAATGAGAATTGGAAATTGTAAATGTATTGTAGTCTTTTAACAATTGCACCATGAAATGGAGGAGAGTAGCCTGGGAGAACACTAGTTGTATTCATTAGAATTTTTTGGTTGCAAGTGACAGAGAAACCAACCCTAAATTTACATAACTGAAAAATCTATGGGGATAGTGTAGGCTTCAGGCATGGAAGTATCAGGGTACAGATAATGCCATTAGTATGTCTTGGCTTGACTCAGTTTTCTTCTGTATGGTAGATTCATTTTCAGGTTTCATATGGTGACAAGCTGTAGTAGTTTCAGACTCATGTCTTCCCAAATTCAAATCCAGTGATATGAAAAGAGAAGGTTATTTACCTAGTTGATTAAGCAAAGTCTTGAAATTAGCTCTTGTTTGGCTTGGATTGGCTTGGCTAGAGTCGAGGGTCCATTTCTGATGGGGATGGAGTTCACTGGTTGGTGTAGGCCTGGAGATGGATTCCTCAGGAAGCACATGGGATAAGAATGGGAAAGGGCATGGTTCCTTGGAGGAAAATTAGAGTACTATTGATAGAGAATGGAAAATGGATGCTGGGTGTCAAAAAGAAGTGTCTAAACTCCAAGTTTTAAAGAGAGTAATTGATGGATAGAGGCCTGAAACAGCAAGGAGGGAATACAATCAAGGTGCATGGATGAAATGGATTTTGAAAGGAGGACGCATTCTCATTTCTGAGATGGCAGTGAAGGAGAAGATAATAAAAGATGTTATGTAGACAATTTGACATGTAAGTGAGGCAAGTTGAGAGTGCATATGTTAAATAACTTTAGTGTTCAAGTAAAAATCCAAATGAGGGAATATGTAGTGTTATTTAAAAATAATTTAAATATCTTATTATATCAGCTATATTACAGCAAATAATGATAAATAGAAATTAAAAATGAAATTCTGCAGCTAACATATCAAATGCTTTTATTCTTTATACTGCAGACGTAATCTTTACAAAGCTTAAGTATTCTCACTGTTTAACTCCCACTTATGAGTGAGAACATGTGGTGTTTAGTTTTCTGTTCTTGTGTTAGTTTGCTGAGAATGATGGTTTCTAACTTCATCCATGTTGCTGTAGAGGACATGAATTCATCCTTTTTTATGGCTGCATAGTATTCCATGGTGTATATGTGCCACATTTTCTTTATCCAGTCTATCATTGATGGGCATTTGGGTTAGTTCCAAGTCTTTGTTACTGTGAATAGTGCCATGATAAACATACATGGGCATGTGTCTTTATAGTAGAATGATTTATAATTCTTTGGGTATATACCCAGTAATAGGATTGGTGGGTCAAATGGGATTTCTATTTCTAGATCCTTGAGGAATCACCACGATGTCTTCCACAAAGGTTGAACTAATTTACACTTCCACCAACAGTGAAATATATATTATTTATGACATTTTTTTACTGGCATCCAATTTCATGGAGTAAATGAAATTCACTTAGTCTTTTTACTTAAAGACATTGAGATTACTTTCATTTTTTAAAATTAGGAATAGTGCTACAATTATTATTATATACTTAGCTGTTTATTTTTCTTGAGGTTATTTCTGTAGTAAAAGTTCCCAGGAATAGGGTAATTGTGTAAAAGAGAATAAACATTTTATATCTCCTACGTGTTTCCAAAATCACCTTACATAAAGTATGGAAAATTGCCAATGCCCCTGGCTATATAAGAAAGTATTAGTTTCCACCAGGTATGGTGGCACACACGTGTAATTCCAGGACTTTGGGAAGCCAGGGTGGGTGGATCATTTGAGCTAGGAGTTTGAGACCAGCCTGGCCAACATGGTGAGAACCCATCTCTACTAAAAATATAAAAATTAGCTGGGCGTGGTTGTACTAGCCTGTAATCCCAGCTACTTGGGAGGTTAACATAGGAAAATAGCTTGAACCTGGGAGGCGGAGGTTGCAGTGAGCTGAGATCACAAGATCAAGCCACTGCATTCCAGCCGGGGTGACCTTGCAAAACTCTGTCTCAAAAAAAAAAAAAAAAAAAAAAAAAAAAAAGAAAAAGAAAAAAAAATCCATTAATATTTTTAAGATAACTAACGTAACACAGTAAGCACTTAATGCCAGGATGGGTCTAAACACCTGAGTCATGTTAACTCATTTAATTATCACACTGACCCTATGAAGGAGAAATTTATTATGATCCATGTTTTTATAGATAGGGAAACTAAGATATAAACAGATTAAGTACACTACTCAAGTCCCTACAGCTAGGAAGTGCTAGGAGCAGCATATGAACCATGGGAATCTGAATTTCAGCCTGCATGCTCTACCACTGGGCAATATTGCTTTGTGATAGTTTTTGCTTAGCATTTCCTCAAGTGTTGTTAACAACTTGTATACATTTTGTGAGAATTTCAGAATGTCTTTCTCTGGGAGATTCTGTCTTGATGGTTTTGCCCCAGTATAGTGGGAAAATTCTTACGGACTTGGATGACTCAGATGGTCTGAATGGAGAGATTTATTAATAAGTCATACCTTTTTTTAACTCTTTATAAAGATGTATGTAAAGTTCAGAAACTAATAATTATGTTGCTAATCATTAAAAATAAATGTAGTTGTTTCATCCACCCAGGGTAGACAGGCTTTTTTGAAGGGCTCTGATGGTTCTACAGTCTAATTCAACTGTGCTGGTTACCATGGAAACTTACCTTCTGGCTTTTCTTGAACATCTGAAATGTGGGTATTCCTCTGATGTGACAAGTTTCAGCCAGCTCCTGGGAAAGCAAAGAAAGGGCATGAAGTTACAGTATTGGTGTCCTCTCTCTGTACCAAGTATATTCTTTGGTAACTTCTCAGGAGGTGTGTCTGAAAGTACAAGGAGACCTGACACTTTACAGACTCTCCTGCTATGAACTTTTCTAACATATCCTTAAAGCCTCTAGGAATGTCACAATGATTGACATGAAACAATTGATAGAAAATGATTGTTACAGCATTCCTTGGCTTTTTCATCCCATAGAAGAAGGAGGTGGGTAAGAGATGGAGGACACAACAGAATAGATGCTTAATAGCAAAATGAGCTGCATTAAAGGGCCCTGTGAAAGAGGGGCCCCTGTGGAACTCAATATAAAAATGGCTTATTTCAAAAAACAGAAAAGAGTAAACAAATCTTTATAACTCTACTTGAGACATGGGATACATCCTCATCTCGCATTTTAAGTAAAGCTTACACATGTTTTTCTTTGAGGTCCTTCACTGCCCATCTTTGTGAAAGATTTGGAACCAAAAGATGAGAAAATATACCAGTATTCCAATTATTTTAATCTATTCCAAACTACTTTCAAATGTTAGTTTTTGTTTCTCTTGATCAGGAGTCAAAAGAAAATTAGTCACCCACAGGATCAACAGAATTGGACATCTCTCTCTAATATACCAATCACTTTACTGGCATTAAATCTCTTGCTCTGCCACTCACAGCACACACAAACACACACACACACACCCCTGAACACACACTGTATTATAGTTTTTCATGACCACATAAGGACAACAACTGATATATAAATTACCATTAGACAATTATGCATTTTGCTCTACCTTAAAAGATAATGAGCTATAATAAAGAAGCCAGACAATAGCATAGGTTGGCAAGATATGGAGAAATCAGAGCTCTCATACATTACTGGTGAGAATGTAAATGGTACAGCTGCTTTAGAAAACAGTTTGTCAGTTTCTCAAAAAGTTAAACCCAGAGTTACCATATTGCCCCCAAATTCCAATCCTGGATATATACCCAAGGGAAATGGAAATTTTGTTTATACAAAAATTTATACACTAATGTTTATACCATTATTTTTTTTGAGATGGAGTTTTACTCTTCTTGTCCAGGCTGGTGTGCAATGGCGTGATTTCGGCTCATTGCAACCTCCATCTCCAGGGTTCAAGCAATTCTCCTGCCTCAGTCTCCTGAGTGGCTGGGGTTAGAGGTGTGTGTCATCATGCCTGGCAAATTTTTGTATTTGTAGTAGAGATGGCAGTTCGCCATGTTGGCCAGACTGATCTCAAACTCCTGGCCACAAGCTATTCACCCGTCTGGGGCTCCAACATTTCTGAGACTACAGGCGTGAGCCACTGTGCCTGGCCAAAGTACTGATACATTCTATAACATAAATGAACCTTGAAAATGCATGCAGTGAAAGCAGCCAGTGACTAAAGACCACATATTCTATGATTCCCTTTATATGAAATGTTCAGAATAAGCAAATCTATAGATAGACTGTGGATTTCTGGTTGTCTAGGGTTGGGGGTGGAGGATGGAGGGAATTGGGTGTAACTACTAAAGTGTGTTCTGTTTCTTCTTGGAGTGATGAAAGTGTTCTAAAATTGATTGTAGTGATGATTGTGCAACTCTGTGAATATAGAAAAGTTAAAGAGATAGTCATCCTAGCTGTGTATTCTGAATTTGTAGGTTATGATTCATCCTAAAGGGCAACTAAACATTCACACTTTAATGAAGCTTGAAGTAAATGGAGAAAGGGAATTTCTATTATGCTCTAGGCTCCATGTCATATATTTAATGTATTTTATCTCATTTTATCTTCTGTTAAGTGTTATTATCCTGTTATGAAACTGAAATTTATGGAGGTTGAACTATAATAGGTCACAAAATCATTTCAGGTCAGAATGGTAAATGTCATTTTTTTCATTCTCAAGCTCAAATGCATTCTAACATGTGGATAGTCCACCTGTTGTTACCTTTCATCATTATAAATTAACAAATATTAAAAATAATAATTTTGTAGAGACATTGTGTGTATTAACAAGACACAATTTTGTTTGAGGTTATGGGTTTTTTTTGAGGGGATGGGATGAGGAAGGATGGCTTCAGAGACAGGAAGAAGGGATTTCTGGGAATTTCTTGAGATGCTTCAAACACACACACAAAAAGCATAAGATATAGCAAGAGGAAAGCAAAATATACTAAGATGTCTGTAATGCACTGACTTAGGTTCTAGAAATTGATTAACAATCTATCACAGGGATGAAAACTGTCTTTTTCCTTGAGCCCAACTTTAACAGATTGCTATGGTCTTCCTAGAGCAACTCTGCTGAGAAGGATTCTGGGGCAGGGCCCAGAGCAAGTGGTGAAGAATGCTGGGATTGATTAGTCAGGCCTGCCGCAGCATAAAAGAAGAGAGGGGTATCAGGAGTGCTAACCGTTTTTTGCTAACCTTTTTTTAAAAAAGTAATACAAAACACACAAGAGCATAATGAGGCAGTTTACAGTAGTTTATGTTAAAAAAGTGAAATTCTACTTGATTTTAAATTGGTCATATGTTATTAATTACTGAGACAGTGCTATTTAATTACAATGCATTTGGATTTTGAGTATGTGCAAGGAAGATTTAAGATTCTTACCGGAGAATTGTTCACATCCACATTAGCAAAAAATACATTCTGGTATTTCACAGACATTGCCTTCAAAATAAAAAACAAATATTTCCTATTAGTTTGGTGTTAATGTTAAAATATACACTAGAAGCATCTTTTCAGTAGAAACAAAAAAAGTGAACAAAAAGTTTGTTAAAGAGGACTAAGCATCATTCTGGTATTTCACTACAGCCGAGAGCTTGAAGCATCAAGTCAAATGCCAGATGATGCCAAGGTTAGATGATGCAAGGACCAGTGACAGAAGCAGAGTCATAAAGAACCAAACTGAATATTAGAGTTTCGAGGTTGGCAAAGAAATAACGGAATGTGAGTGGTGGGTCCAGACTTACCTTGTAGGGTGGAGGAATGGATAACAGAGTAGCTTCCTCCTGGGAGAGCAGCTGGGGGAATCTGTCTTCAGTGATCTCTGAGATACAGTTCTCTGAACCATACTCTACCTTCTCTTGCCTAGCATTTTGGGAGGTGCTGGTGCTGCTGGTGGTAGAAGGCTGTTCTGCTTGAAGTGATATCGACATTTTAATGCTAGTCCTTAGTCTAATTTCTTTGCATCCCTGTTGCCATCTTTCTGTGCTCTAATATGTGTGGAAAGTAGGTTTTCCAAGTTCCATTGCTAGCTGACTTTCAATTAGGTTCTTCCAATGGGAAGTATTTGCAGGAAATGGAAGTTGGGAGGAGGGAAGAAGTAATTCACCTCTACTTCTGTTTTGTTCTGGAATCATCTTTGATAGTGGTGATGACCATGGTGGTGGTAGTGGGTCTAGGGTAAGTGGATGTGGCAGCAGCCACAGCAGCAGCAAAAGCAACAACAACAGTGGCCTGTAAATGTCAGCTCCTGGGTGTCTTTTCACACAGCTGTGTTCATACCTTATGGACACTTGATGTCATCTTGATTTGTTTGCTTAAAATCATATCTCATAAATTTCTGGTGGCTTATTTCTGTTGATCTAACTCGAAAATATTTCCTGAATTTGATCTTTTCTTTTTCTCTAGAAGTCACTGCTCTAGTTTTCGAAAAACCTGTCATTACTGTCATTCACCCTGGGTTTCCTGCTTTCAGTCTTTCCAACCCACTCTTGTGTAACCTCTAAAAATATTTTCTTTTCTTTTTTTCTTTTGTTTATCTAAGATGAATGTACCATCTGCTATCCAAAAGTATTTTCTAAGCACCACATTTGATTGTGGCAAAATACTTCTTAAAATTGTCCTATTTGACTCTCCACAGCAATTCGTTAAGTGATAACACAAGATCCTACTCTATATGGCCTTAGCTTCCTTTTGAGGCTCATTTTTTTGCCATCTCTATTGCATACTACATGTTAGCCTCACACATGACATATTGCCTTCCCCTAATCACACCATACAATTTCTCAACAAAATTATAACCTCTCCTTTTCCAGAACTGTTCTTTTTAGGAGTCTATGCCTAGTGATCCTCTTAGCCCAGGGTCAGCAAACTATGCCCTGTAGACCAAATCCAGCCTTCCAACTGTTTTTTAAATAAAGTTTTATTGGAACTAGTTGCCCGTCTGTTTTTGTGTTGTCATTGCACTATAGCAGCAAAATTGAGTAGTTGTGACAGAGATCATGTGGTCTACAAAGCTGAAAATATTTTCTGTCTCGTCCTTGACAGGAAAAGTTTGTTGACCCCTGCCCTTGCATTATTAAAGTCACTTCTTAAAACCCACATTTTCTTATGATTTATTGATTTTTTTCTTGTTGCAATACATCCATTAGCAGTTTCTTCAGAGGGATTCTGTGGGTAGTAAACTTTTGGTTTTTGTGCGTCCGAAAATGTCTTGAATTCTTTCCCTCGCTTGAATAATGGTTTTGCTTACTAACTTCCATTTCATCATCCTGGAGAGCCTGGAAAGCAAAAGTGATGAAGATTTCTTTGCCTCCCTTGCAGCTAGAGTTCTGGATGCAAATTTCACTTTACCAGTCAGATGCATGCCAGTGAGACTTGAAAGGCAGAATGAGACAGAAGCTACTTTCTTTTTATTTTTTGGTGGAAAGCAAGGTTGTGGGCACTGGTTGTGCTAGAGGCAAGCAGTGGTGGCAGCCAGACTCAGGGTCTAGAAATCAACTTCTTAGATGTCCAGAGGCCATTGTGGCTATAGTAGCTGCCTAATCCTGGTTCTGACTCTCTGAATGCTGCTCTGTTGATGGTTTTCAAACTCCCGATTGTGACCTCCTGTTTCCCGTGACTTCTGGTTATGGCAAAAGTTAGAATCTCCACAAGTGGGTCTGTTGTGTTCTAAAGAGTGGTTCATGGAGTTTCTGTCCCAAGCCCATTCACCTGGGCTTCTGATGATTTTATGACCATTTAATTCCTTGTATTAAAATCCTTTTCTAATTTGGCTCTAATATGGTTTTTATTTCTTGCTTTGATATCTGACTGATTAGTCATCTAAACTTTCTGGCACCAAGGACCAGTTTCGTAAGACAATTTTTCCATATGCTGGGGGCAGGGGGATGGTTTCAGGATGAAACTGTTTCACTTCTCGATGCTTATAAGGAGTGTGCAACCTAGATCCCTCGCACATGCAGTTCACAATAGGGTTTACACTCCTGTGAGAATCTAATGCTGCAGCTAATCTGACAGGAGGCGGAGCTCAGGAGGTAATGCTTACTCACTGGCCCCTCACCTCCTGCTGTGTGGCCAGTTCTGAACAGGTCATGGACCCATGGACTGGTACTGGTCCATGGCCCAGGTGTTTGGGACCCCTGATTTAGAGGAAGTAAAGCCTTCCTCCAACCCCCTTGTATACTATGAATTTTTAAAAAAAGTATGCACATGATACAGGAATACCTTCTCTTACAAAAGTTCAAACTTTACAAGAAAAAGCAAAATATGAAATTCTCCCATTCACAACCTTTTCACAATTTTCACTCTTTCACAGAAAAAAACTTGTTTGATATACATCCTTCTGCTCCCCATTTGTTTGCATATAAAAATTATGTATGTGTATGTGTATATACATATGTTTATATACTCACATATGTACTTACATGTATAGATATGTGTCTGTTTTACATAATTGGGGCCATACTCTACACATGTTTTATACTGTGCTCTTTTTACTTAATAATATGCTGTCCCTAAGAAAAATTTTAAAAAATATATTGTCCTGGAGATAATTCCATATTTACATGGATATACTTAATCCTTTTTATTTCTTTTTTGAGACTGAGTCTTGCTCTGTCACCCAGGTTGGAATGCATTTGTGCAATCTCAGCTAATTGCAACCACTGCCTCCCAGGTTCAAGTGATTCTCAATGCCTCAGCCTCCTGAGTAGCTGAGACTACAGGTGCATGCCACCACACCCAGCTATTTTTTTGTATTTTTAGTAGAAACAGGGTTTCACTGTGTTAGCCAGGATGGTCTCAGTCTCCTGACCTCATGATCCACCGCCTTGGCCTCCCAAAGTGCTGGGAATACAGGTGTGAGCCACCGTGCCCGATCTCTACTTAATCCTTTTAAACATCTGAAATATTTCACAGAGTGGATAAACCAAAATTTAAAAGCTGTATTAGCATTAGCCTGGATTCCTACAGGAAACAGATGGCACAATCAAATTAGGATAACTTGAATTTTGTTTTGTTTTGTTTTTACAAAGGGACTAACTATATCTATTAAGGTAAGAATGGGCTTAGGAGGGGCTGCAGAGCCTGGATATAGCAAAAGCCAAGCTGTTAACAGCCCTTAGGACCTGAAGATAGGAGAGAGGGAGAGGTTACCAAGACATAGATTTCATTATATTTTGTGGCAATGCCTCTTATTGGTTGTTGGAATTGGATCAGCTCTGACTTTGTGGCCTGTGAGTATATAGCACATTTATATTCCTGAAACTGAACACTAGCTATTCTCAGGCAAAGTCAAGGAGATCCTCTTTTCTTAAGTCTTGAGTGTCAGCATGGTAGGACCTGTCAAATACTAAGATGTTCCCTCAGGATATTCTTTATTTTTTATTTTTAAATACAGAGAGGGTTTCACTATGTTGGCCAGGGTGGTCTGGAACTCCTGGCCCCAAGCAATCTTCTCCCTTCGTCCTTCCAAAGTGCTGGGATTACAGGCATCAGCCACCATGTCTGGCCTTTCCTCTGGATATTCTAAGAATTTTCGGCAGAGAAGGAATGTTGTGATGTTATGTAGCCAGTTTCTCTGTTGGCATATAAGTTCATTTTTAATTAAATATCAGTTTGTGATTATGGTTAAAATTTACTCAGGCTGTGACTGAGGCTCAGGTGGATTTTAAAAAGTTGAAATGTTAGAAACTTGCTGAAAATAAACCAGAGCATTTTTAGTTGTGTAGAGTATTCTTCATATTTGAAGGAATAAACTTCACAAAATTGACCATAAAACATGTAAAGTTTTATACAATAAGGAGAAATGAAGGAAAGTGCCCTGAGATTCTTTCTGCAGTATATTAAACCAAAAACAAATTTAAAAAATGGTAAAAAACTGTTAGTAGGCTATTACAGACATTAACCAGATAAAATATTGTATAGATATTAAATGGTTCATTTGGAGACATAAAAACATGAATCAATGTGTATGTGGAAAAAAGATCTGAATATAAAGATATGATTAGAACTCAGTAGGATATTTTACAGGATATTTTATAAAGTAAATAAAGGACAAGAAAGGAAAGTGCAAGGCAAATTATTTGCCTAATTGCAACATGTATGGACCTGGAGGACATCTTGCTAAGTGAAATGAGTGAGTCACCATAGAATAAATACTGCATGATTCAATTTTTATAAAGTATATAAAATATAGTCAACTTACAGAGGCAGAAAATATAATGGTGGTTGTCAGGGAATAGGGAAGGAGTAAATGAGTTGTTTAGTGGGCATAAAGATACAGTTGTACAGGATAATAATTTCTAGAGATGTGATATACCAGGGAATCCTCAGTTGCCTGATAGGAGCCAGGTTGCACAGCAGAAGGTGAGGTACCGTAAGCAATCGTTATCTGCCTGAGCTCTGCCTCCTGTCAGATCAGCGTGGCATTAGATCCTCCTAGGAGCAGAGCCATATTGTGAACTGCACGTGTGAGGGATCTAGGTCGCACTCATTATGAGAATCTAACACCTGCTGATCTAAGGTGGAAGAGTTACATCCTGAAACCATCCCCGCATCCCCACCCTCACCCCTAGTCCGTGGAAAAATTGTCTTCCACAAAACTGGTCCCTGGTGGCAGAATGGTTGAGGATCACTGTGGCATACAACATAGTGTTTATAGTTAACATTAGGGTGTTGCACACTTAAAAATTTAGTGTAGATTTCATGTTAAGTGTTCTTACACACACACACATACAAGCAAATGCACACAAGGTTTCATTTGGAGATGATGGATATTGATTATGGTAATGATATCATGGGTGTATGCATAGGTCCCAACATCAATTGTATACAATAAATCAGGCATTCCCAAACTACGGCCCGTGGGCCGCATGCGGCCCCCTGAGGCCATTTATCCGGCCCCCCCGCCGCACTTCAGGAAGGGGCACCTCTTTCATAGGTGGTTAGTGAGAGGAGCACAGTATGTGGCAGCCCTCCAACGGTCTGAGGGACAGTGAACTGGCCCCCTGTGTAACAAGTTGGGGACGCCTGCATTAAATGAACAGATTTTGTATAACAATTATACCTCAATAAAGCTGTAGGAAAAATAACATAAAGATATATGATTTGTTCTGTTAATAAGGTTGATGAATTGGGAGAAATTTATTCTTTTTTTTTTTTTTTTTTTTTTGAGACGGAGTTTTGCTCTTGTTACCCAGGCTGGAGTGCAATGGCGCGATCTCAGCTCACTGCAACCTCCGCCTCCTGGGTTCAGGCGAATCTCCTGCCTCAGCCTCCTGAGTAGCTAGGATTACAGGCACGCGCCACCATGCCCAGCTAATTTTTTGTATTTTTAGCAGAGACGGGGTTTCACCAAGTTGACCAGGATGGTCTCGATCTCTTGACCTCGTGATCCACCCGCCTCGGCCTCCCAAAGTGCTGGGATTACAGACTTGAGCCACCGCGCCTGGTGAGAAATTTATTCTTTTATGTTATATTTGAAAACAAATATCATATTTATCTGTATTCTAATTCAATGTTTGAAAGTTCTGAACTCTTGAAACTTTGGTAAAATGTAATTGCTATAATATGAAGAATCCATTAATTTGTAGAATTGTATTCTTTTGCACATCTTGAGAAGGTTCCTTTCAGAATTACCCATGGACAAGTAGTATTAATCTTCTTGTACGTACACTCATTACCTACTTAGATCTCAGCATATTATCTTCAAGTTAATCAGGGTGCTTCAAAAAACTACAGCTCCATAATGGCTCATAAGTGCCGAACTTTTAAGAATTACTGGGGAAAATATCCTGGAACTTTAAGTTTCTTCTAAAGCTATGAGATAGATACTGGTTGTACTTACATGAAAAATAGGGCACATCCTTTTGCAGGGACCACACCATGTTGAAGAAAATTCAACCACTGCAAGTTTATGTCCAGCAGCTGTCAAAAATGTTTTAAATTCATTCTGAAACCAGAAAATAAATGAAGAAATGTGCATAATCACTGAATCTCATGACATTTTGTAGTGAATAAGATGACAGCTTAGTTTTGTTTTTGTTTTTGTTTTTGTTTTAGAGCTAGTGTTTCACTATGTTGCCCAGGCTGGTCTCAAACTCCTGGGCTCAAGTGATCCTCCTGCTTCAGCCTACCAAAGTGCTGGGATTACAGGTGTGAGCCACCATATCTAGCCATGTTAGTTCTTAAAACCCTTAACCAGGTATCCCACCCCATTTTTCTCTAGCTGACCTCACCTTTGTAAACGTCCTTCATGTCAAATATATTTCTTTGTAAGTACATATAAATGATGGACGCCTATGCACCAAAAAGGTTGGTAATGGAAGTTGATAATGGTGGTTACCTCTGAGGAGAAACAGGTTGGCCAGGGAGGGAGAGGGGCTGGAGGGTGGGGTGAACTGCTGTTCAGGGCAGATATCTATAGCACTAGATTTTTATTAAACAATGGCCTAAACATGCATGACTAGTGAAATTTAAAAGAAGAAGAACTAATCTCATCCCTTGAGTCATTTCTTGTTTTTTGGGAGAAGTGATCATTATTATAGCTACAGTTAAAACCATGCATTTAAGGATTTGACATGCCTATTGCTGAATGTAAAGTGAATTTCCCATCAACTCTTTGTATCTTCTAAGTAAATAAAGATTTCCCTTCCTGGTAACTCAGATGACTGCATCTAAATTTGCTTGCTTTATGAAAAGTGACTGGTTCTACACTATTATTTCATGCATGGTTGATCTCCTGAAGTCCGAACAGAACTTAATCTTGATTAATTCCTGTACCTCACATGATCCCTAACTCACATGGCAAGTGCTCATAGAGTGTTTTCTTTATTTTTGTTTAAATTTAATTTTATTTTTTGTAGACAGGGTCTGGCTCTTCATCCAGGCTGGGGTGTAGTGGTATGATCTCAGCTCACTGCAGCCTCTGCCTCCTGGGCTCGGGTCATCCTCCCACCTCAGTCTCCCAAGTGCTGGGATTACAGGTGTCAGCCACCTCACTCAGTCTTAGTGCTTTCTTGATAAAGGAATGATTTGCTAATATATAGTACTTTGTTCAAGATTTTTCCTTTTCTTACTGGAATTGCAACAATTGTAGCTAATTTACTCTGTGCCCTATATTCTCTCCCATAATCTTTACAACCACACTACAGTGTGTATATTCTCTCCCATAATCTTTACAACCACACTACAGTGTGTATACAGTGTGTACCTCCATTTTACAAATGCGAAAACTGAAGTTCACTCTTTATCATGATCAATTAGCTGGTTAGTGGTATAGTTGGGATTGGTATCCCAGGCAGCCTGACTCCAGTTCCCATTTCCTTAACCACAACACAAAATCCTCTCCTGAGTTATTATAGAATTAGGACTTAATTTCCCTTTCACTGGCCCTAATTGCATGTGTGTTTATTCCTGACCAAACATTAAGAGGAGGGGGATGGGATTGTTAACTGGATTAAGTCAGGCAAGGCCTATCCCCACTATGGATGGGTTTAATTCCATATAGATGACATGTGATATGGTTTGGCTGTGTCCCCACCCAAATCTCATATTGAACTGTAGCTCTGATAATCCCCACATGTTGTGGGAAAGACCTGGTGGGAGGTAATTGAATTATGAGGGTGGGTTTTTCTCATGCTGTTTTCATGAGAGTGAGTAAGTCTCACAAGATCTGATGGTTTTATAAAGGGCAGTTCCCCGAACATACTCTCTTGCCTGCCACCATGTAAGACATGCCTTTGCTCCTCCTTCACCTTCTGCCATGATTGTGAGGTCTCCCAGCCCTGTGGAACTGTGAGTTCATTAGACCTCTTTTTCTTTATAAATTACCAAGTCTTGGGCATTTCTTCATAACAGTATGCAAATAGACTAATACAACATACCTGCTCTATAATAGCCTTGACAATTATGTTGCTACTTTATTTAGTTTCAATCAGGTGAAAGTGATGACTCAAAGAAGATGCACTCTCTTTATCAATGTTCCTCTAGGATGGAGTAACTAACTTTCCAAAGAACCATGCCAACCCTTTATTTCTCACTTGCTTCTGAAGTTATAAAGCAGATGCCATCCTCACAAGCCACAACACTCTTCACTTTCCAGTAGTTGTTGTTTGGGTGTGAGCTGGCCTAGCTGGATCCATAAACTTGACTTGGCTAAATAATCTGAAGGGAATACTCTCAGGAATAGATATTTATTTGACATATACCTATTGAGGTTTATCCTATGCCAGGTACTGCACAAACTGCTGGGATACCACTGCAGACAAGAAACAAAACAAAACAAACAAAAACTATCCATTCTGTCTCCATGGAGTTTACATTTTAGAATGGGAAGCTCACTGTAAGGTGAATAGGTAATATTTATAGTATATTAGTGATAATAGCTGATAAAGAACAGAAAATGAAGTAGGAAAAAATAATGGGGGTTGGATTACAACTGTAGTCCAGATGGCCAAGTTGACTGAACCTCAAAGAGAAGGTGGCATCTGAATAAAGATAGGATGGAGAGCAGGGCCTTGGGAAGGGTCCCTGAGGAGGAGAGGAAATGTCCTTTGAGGGAATAAGGCTCTGGAATATTCTGTGACATTCCCAGAACATTAAAAAAATAAGGGTCAAAAGCATTAGCAAATGTGTGATGTTTCAACATAGTTTCTTATATCAAAGTTACAGGGCAGTGCTCTCTTTTAATCTGGTCAGTGTCATTTTTGTGATCTGCATAACCACGTTTGGGGAAAATGTCACAAGTCTAAATCTGAGAGTAATGGTGGACATGAGGCCCAGGCCCTAAACCCTCTCCCCTCCTCTGGCTCTTGACTTCCTGTAATGAGGGCAGGCATCAGAAGGTCTGGGCTCTAATGACCACACCACCTCTTAAATCAGATACCCCTGAACCTCTCTTTTAGAGGCAATTTCTCCTTTATAAATCAATGATTACCTCTGTCCTCCACATGAACTTAGATTTGTTGTAACAGTAACATTGGGCAATGGGTAGAAGGTGGCTCTACAAAGTACCCACCTAAGGCATTATTGATACTACTAGTCACAATTTTCCCACCCCATTCCACATCTGGGGTTTCTATTCTCTTTTCCAGGGTAAGAGAAAAGATGTGGGCTCCCTTACTTCCATGGCATTTTCCAGACACAACTAAGGTAGAATCCATGGGATCAGATACAGGATGTGATATGCTAGGAGCTGGCCTGGATTCACCTGAAGTCAGAGCAGGAAATAAGAGTCCAGGAGGAAGAAAAGTCTCCTTGACCAATTTGCCCTTTGGCTGATTTTCTAGATAGTACCAGTCCCTCAAGGAACAAGATGAAGAGTAAGAATTTAAAATTCTCCCCTTGCTACAACACAATGAAGGAATACTGGGTAGAGAGAACACATTCTTAAAGTTTTTCAAATCTATTCTCAAGATGCCCACATTTGAAATATTCAGCAAAGCCAAATAAATACTTGCCATGTCTTTAATAATCTGCACCATGATTTACATCAGAAAAGTATTGATGAAAATCCCCTGTTGGTTTAGTTGGATCACTGTAGCTGTCTCCTATTTACTACAGTATCCTGCCTGGAATATGCGGTAACCTCTCTGTGACATCACTAAACAACCTGGAACTTCGGCAGACTTTGGATTTTATTTCTCTTTTATGCCATGACTAGTTCACTTGTGTCCAGCCAAGAATCAGAAAACTGAGGGCCTTATATGCAGAATCAGCAATGTGTTTGCCTTATTTTCATCTTTTATAACCCATTTCCACATATCCCTCTCCATTCTCCAATCCCTCCATCCCATCACCAAATGAGAAGCAAACAGAGTAATATTAAATAGATGAGATTTTCACTTAAGAACTTGAAGACATGATTTTGCTGTTGAGAAAAATACTAAAGTCTTAGCCCTTTAAGTCCTGTAAATTTGACTTCATGAGTCATAGATTCCCTAAACTGTGTTATTTTGCTCTAATTATTTAGAGAGTAAAGAAATGTCACTTTTATGCACTAGATGAAGGGTTGGCAAATGTTTTCTCTAAAGGACCAGATACTATTTTAGCTTTATGGGCCACCTACAGTGTTTGTTGCATGTTCCTCATTTTTGCAACCTTTGAAAAATATAAAAACCATTCTCAGCTAGTAGGATGTACAAAAAACAGCATCACTGTGCTCACCCCTGCACTTGATAATTCATCATTTTCAGAAATTGATGCCAGAAAAAAATCCTGAACATGGCCATGGCCAATGTTCCTCAAATCTATGGAGAAACTAAAACAACCAAAATGAGAAATAGTAAGTTTTATAATAAAACAAAAAATAGCAAAATCCTTGTTTCTGTTTTTTCTGTGTATCCAGCTCTGGGCCTTTACTGTTGTATGAAAACTGTCAGATGGAGACAGTGGCTACATCTTTAGAGGTATTTGAAGTATGCATGTAACAAAATATTGCATGTACCCCATAAATATGTAGAAGTATTATGTATTGATATGGTTTGGCTATGTCCCTAATCAAATCTCATCTTGAATTGTAGTTCCCATAATTCTCAGGGTTGTGGGAGGGACCGGTGGGAGATAATTGAATAATGGAGGTGGTTTCCCCATACTGTTCTAGTGGTAGTGATGGTTTTATAAGGAGTTTCCCCATTTGCTTCCAAAACCAGAGAGAGAGAGAGAGAGAGAGAGAAAGAGAGAGAGAGAGAGAGAGAGAGAAGAGACAGAGAGAGAGAGAGCTAGTTAGTAAGCACGGCAAATTTCTAGTCCTGGAAAAAAGCTCCTGACCTAGTATTTTCTAGAAAGAGCAATCTGGGCTTTCCCTTTGCCCTTGACTGCCTTCTTTGCTTCCATCACATGTTTTCCTAGACTCATTTCTTACCTTATTGTTGGTCTCATGAAGCACCAAGACAGTCTGGGTGGAGTCACTTTTTGAGAAGTCAGGGTTGCATTTTTTTGTTTTTGTTTTTTTAAAAAAATTTAACCAGGAAGAGAATCCTGAGAGTGGGCTGGGAATTTTAAATCTTGAAAAATCTACAAGAAAAACAGGCTGGAAAGAAAAGAAGTAAAAAGAGAAAGGAAGGAGAGTGGGAGGGGGAGGGGGGAAAGGGAGTGGGGAGAGGGAGGGGGAGAAGAAAGCTGGTAAGAGGGAAAAAAGAAAAAGGAAGAGCAAAAGAAGGCAAAGCAAAATAAAAAAGTAAATGAAAGATGGAATAAAAATGTAATTACAGACAGAAGATAAAGAACTTATAAATAGGGGTCAGGCAGGGTGGCTCATGCCTGTAATCCCAACACTTTGGGAGGCCTAAGGTAGGTGGATCACTTGAGTTCAGGAGTTTGAGACCAGCCTGGCCAGCATGGTGAAACCTCATCTTAGCATACTAAAAATACAAAAATTAGCCAGGCCTGGTAGTGTGTGCCTATAATCCCAGCTACTCAGGAGGCTGAGGCAGGAGAATCGTTTGAACCCAGGAGGCAAAGGCTGCAGTGAGCTGAGATCATACCACTGCACTCCAGCCTGGGCGAGTGACACTCTCAAAAACAAAAACGAGATACAAAACCCCAAAAAACATACAAGTAGGACTTTAATTACTTAGTCATAGATAGACATTAGCATCACCTGGGAGCTTGACAGAACTATAGAACTTCCAGTTCCATCCCAGATCCACTGTAATCTGTGTGATTCTTGTGCACATTGATGTTTGAGAAGCACCGTTCTAGAGACAGATTTCTAACAGGGAAACGGTTCTGTGGACCTGTGAACCAGCATCATCAGCACCACTTGAGAACTGTGAGAAATGCCAATTCCCCGGCCCCACCCTAGACCTGCTGACTCAGAATCTCTGAGGGTAGGGCTGATAGTGTTAACAAGCTCCCCAGATGACGCTACTGCATGCTCAAGTTTGATATGCACTGGGTTAGATTTATTTTTAAACTACTGGATGGGTTTATTTTGCTCAGGTGTATTATGTCTGCAACACCATGATGGCTCAAGATTGCTATTCAAAATATTTAACAGTGGCTTGGATGCTGATCAGTCAGAATAAGCAACAGCTATGCATCTGCTCAGCTAATTGCTCTGCCAACCATAAACCCTTTCGGTTTCTGGATTTGGGGGAGATCCAGCCTGTCATAGGGAACAGATTAGGTCAGCCTCAGTGAGGTAGGACATGGGAATAGGGTGGGGGGCAGAGCCTATTTATCAACTATTATGTATTTCAATAATTTTAACAACTGCTATGTTTATTGCTGTGTGTGTCAGCTAAACGTTAGCCTTGTGATACTGATGATAAATTCAACAACTGCTCTTCCTAAATGCCATGTAGTCAACTGCAACAAAGTGATTTATTTATTTAAAAAATGTTTATTTGAAATTAGTGGCTGGGCACAGTGGCTCATGTCTTAATCCCAGCACTTTGGGAAGCTGAGGTGGGCAGACTGCTTGAGCTCGGGAGTTTGAGACCAGTCTGGGCAACGTGGTGAGATATCATCTCCACAAAAAACTAAAAAGTTAGCTGGCGCATGGTGGTGCATGCCTATAGTCCCAGCTACTCAGGAGGCTGAGGTGGGAGTATCATCTGAGCTTGGGAGGTCAAGGCTACACAGAACCATGGTCATGCGACTGCACTCCAGCTTAGGTGAAAGAGCAAGATCCTGTCTCAAAACAACAACAAGAAAACCCCAAAAAACAAAATTCGTAAGTTTGCTTGGAATATCAGCATGAACGTGGGGCTCTCTGACACATTTATAACCTTCAAAGATCCCCTTACTATTAGGAAGAAAAACTCTGCTGGGTCCCTGGGCCAATAGCTCATCTCAGAAACAGGACAGGGAAAAGCTCTATTAATTGAACGCCACTTAGTGCTGGCTCCAGGTGATTGAGCAGGAGTTGAGGGAATGGTTGCCATGGATAGTGCACATCTTGAAAAGTGTGGAGAAAAAGAAATCCATGAGGCCAAGAATTGAACGAAATACCAAGACAGAAAAGACCATTCTCACTCTTCATTCAACCCCTGAAATGTGCATTAAGGGCCATGAATGAATTTACATGTGCAAAAACTGTGCCAAGGACAAAATGTTCCACAAAAATGAGTCATGTAGTATATGGCAATTATCGCCAGCATGGGGCAAACTCGTAACTCTGGCTTTTGTAGGTTGTATCTTTGTGTGCCGCTGTGAGATACGCAGAAATTGATCACAGTGAGGACAAACATGTACATTATTATCTAAAACTTTGTGGATTATGATCCTAAAAGTCCTTGGATTTTCCTTCAGGCATGGAAAGAGCTGGAACGCAGAAAATGATGTCAGGGAAATGCCTGCCTCTGTCATAAACAAGCACTTAGAGTAAGGGAGATGTTCCATGTGGGTCAGTTTAGAAAAACGATTTAGCAAACATATTCCATGAAACAGAAATGAACTTCAGTGTGCCCTTGCAAAACCAAGAAATAGGGACACGAATGTTAAGAAAGAATATCAAGTTTTAAGTGGTTTAGCAAGAAAATAAGTCACTGATAAATTCAGGAAAACTGCCTCATTGGAGCAGCCTATTATTGAGAAGGGATAGGAAAAGGTGAGATGGTGTTATTATTTTTTTTTTTTGAGACGGAGTTTCGCTCTTGTTACCCTGGCTGGAGTGCAATGGCGCCATCTCGGCTCACTGCAACCTCCGCCTCCTGGGTTGAAGCAATTCTCCTGCCTCAGCCTCCTGAGTAGCTGGGATTACAGGCACGCGCCACGACGCCCAGCTGATTTTTTGTATTTTTAGTAGAGACGGGGTTTCACCATGTTGACCAGGATGGTCTCGATCTCTCGACCTCGTGATCCACCCGCCTCGGCCTCCCAAAGTGCTGGGATTACAGGCTGGAGCCACCGCGCCCGGCCTGGTGTTATTTTTTATTTTATTTTATTTTATTTCTTTTATTTGACAGGGTCTCACTCTGTCACTCAGGCTGGTGTGCAGTACCACTGGTATGCAGGTTGACCCATCACTGCAGCCTCAATCTCCCAGGCCCCAGCGGTCCTCCCACCCCAGCCGCCTGAGGACCTGGGACTACAGGCATTCGTCCTCACATCAGCCTAAGAGATGGTGTTATTAAAGAGGGTCCCCAAATGCTTATTGCTTGTAGACAGAACTTATATTGTATTATCAGCATAAGAGCCATTTATTTAAAAAGTAGGCTAGGCGTGGTGGCTAATGCCTTTTATTTCAACATGTTCGGAGGCTGAGGCAGGTTGATCCTTTGAGCCCGAGAGTTCTTGACCAGCCTGGACAACATGGTAAAACCCCACCTCTACCAAAAATCAAAAAAATTATCTAGGTGTGGTGGCAGGTGCCTGTGGTCCTCAGCTACACAGGAGGCTGAGGCAGAAGAATGGTTTAAGCTCAGGAGGTCGAGGCTACAGTGAGCTGAGATTGTGCCATTACACTCCAGTCTGAGCAAGAAAGTGAGACTCTGTCTCAAAAAAAAAAAAAAAGTATATATGTGCCATATTATTAATAAGATAACAATTCAAAAGCATTTTTATCAATCAATTGATATAAAAATACTTGTGGAGCAAAGAGGCAGC